TTAGCGGGGGATTAATAGTTTCAGGGTTCCTGGTTTCCCTTGTGCTCAAGGTGTTGGGCGAAATGAGTTTTTCCCTCTGAATATTTGCACATGCACAGGTCAGATTTTCTGTTGGTGGATGCACAGTTGCATTTCTTTTCGGCCATCCACATGCTTCGTTCAAGCTGTAAGTGTAACATCTCCTCTTTTTATCTCTAGGGCTGTGCTTGTGGGGAGGAGGAAGACTGTACCCATTTCACAGAAGCCACTGACCGCGCACCAACATGGTGGTTTTTACATGCAACGCGTGTGGAGAATCTGTGAAGAAAGCACAAGTTGAAAAACATGTGAACATCTGCAGAAACTGTCAGTGCCTTTCTTGTATGGATTGTGGCAAGGATTTCTGGTAGGTAAAAGGTGGGAAATAGCCTTGCTCACTCTGCAGTGGTTGTCACAAATAGAAGATTTTCCTATGGTATATTAGAATTAAATTTGGCAATTTATGAATAATTCACATTTGTATTTAAAAATTATACATGTTTTTATATAATTTCAAGCTTAATCATCCAAGTTTGAACCACAAGGACAACTAAACTACAAAGTAAACAGAGTTGCAGTTTCTTCTTTTACAGTTATGAGTGACAGTGCTTTCAGCTTCTGATGATCAACAACTATTACTTATTCTGCTGCTGCAGAGTGGGATTGGGAATAACACCAACAATTCTGAATTTGGTTGTCACTTCTCAGAACTCAGAAGAAAACAGTGCTCCTATTGCTTTCAATGTATAGATATATGAATTTTAAGAAGTGTCCTGGGTCATCATCATCTCCCACTAAGCTAATCTTTTGTCAGTGGAGTATTGAGAAATATTAAGATCTATGTTATTCATTCTTTTTTGGGGGCACTTACACATTGGTCAGAACTACACTACCACATTAGTATATCTATATTTAGGAATTATTTTTTTGCAGGCATTTTTCACCTATTTTTCCAATTTTAAAATATGTCAGTGTGAGTAGTAAACCACAGACGTGTTAATAGCAGTGCATATGTTACATGTACAAATGTGCGTAAGTTATAGGGTCATTAAGAAAAGCAGCAGTATACTGAAGACTCAGATCTAATTTTACAAGTCAGAAATTTTCACTGAAGGCTGAAGCATGACAGAAATGTCATCAGTTTTATAGGTATGTACTGTGAGCATGTTGAACTTTACTCATGTAAGTGTTGACAGTATTACGGTTTGAATGATAGACGCTATCATCTACTGCTTCAGTTTGTTGATTACATAAGTCTTGTATAGTTTGAAGGATGTAAACGCTTTAGTGAACTACAATTAAAAATCTCCTGTGTTCAGGGGTGATGATTATAAGGAACATGTGAAGTGCGTAAGTGAAGACCAGAAATATGGTGGAAAAGATTTTGAAGCCAAAACTAACAAAGGAGATGCTAAGCAACAGGAGTGGATTCAGGTAAGGTTTGTTCTATATACAGAAATGATAAATAACTATTGTTTATTATTGTTAAAGGCACAAGAGTGGCTATACTGGATCAAACCAGAGATCTATTTTTCCCAATATCCACAGCTTCCTTTTGGCAATTCCTTGGTAGGTCTATTGTTTATCCTGGAAAGAAACACACTGTTTGTTTGTTGTTTGATTTAATGTTCCCTAGTTCTTGCATACAAAGAGGCATTGATAATTGCATACCCTCTTCATGCCACATATGCTTTTGCAGACCTCTTAGGCATCCCTTCCCACCTCATCGTCTCTGTTCCAGGCTGAAAAGTCCTGTCCTGCTCAGTTGTTCTTCATATGTAAATTGTATTTTGCTCAGCTGTACTACCTCTCTCTGAAATCTTCCCCGTTCTATTGTATCCTCGTGAAATGAGGTTACAAGAACTACACACACTGTTCAAGATACAGATGAACCATAGACATACTGTGTCATAATGATGTTTTCTGTTTCCTTTTTTATTCCTTTCTTATTGATTTTTGTCAGTTCATCTACTTTTTTTGACTCCTGTCAATCATTGTGCTGGTGGTTTCATGGAATTGGCTGTTCTAACCCCAAGGTCTTGTGTCTAAGCTCCAGTGGTCAGCTTGCCATTTTGCATGTGAAGTTAGGATTGCTTTTCCTGTGCGTGCTGCTTTATATGGATTTGTGTTGAATTTAATTCACCTTTTTATTAAATAGTCACTCATTCTCTTTAAGATCTGTCTGGAATTCTTCACAGTCTTCATCCTGAATAGCTTCTTATCATCAGGAAAATTTTCCTGCCCTCTTTTCAGATCTTTTGTAAATATGTTGAACAGCAGAGGGTGCAGTGTGGATCACAGGAAATGTCTCCGACCCTTTCTGTCCTACCCTTCAGGTAGTTATTTATCCCATGCAAGAACCTACCCTCTTCTGTCTGTTAGTGTCCTTTAAAGATTTTAGGAATGAACTCTGAAACACATTTTTAAAACCCCATTAGATATAATTAGGTTGGTCAACTTTATTCATGGATTTGTAGATTTCTAGCTCTTACAGAACACCATCTAACAAAGCACTAAGCTACATGGATACTTGAGGAATGTGAATAATACCATTGAAGTCAACAGATTAGTGCCATTGTTGAGACTGAACTCCTCTGAGTGCAACTTGGCAGGGTTAGCTTTACAGTTGGACTTGATGATCTTAAGGATCTTTTCCAACCTAAATGATTCTATGATGTGAATGCTATTGCTAATGAAAATTGTACATGTCCAGTGGCTACATCTTTAAATAATGAGAAGGTCAGAGCCTTTCCCACTCACCGCGTGCAAGCAGCAGGGCTGTTCAAGTAACGGCCGCAAGGCCCTGGCCTAACCTCCTCTGTTCTTTTGTGCCGACACCTGTAGCACAGGAATATGCCAAAAGAAATGCATGTCAAACTGTGGCCTCAAAGTTAGCCTCACTGTCACAATTAACTCCAGAATTTTGCAAAAACTAATTGGTTGACAATTGCTTTTCTTAAATGCAGGTCTTCTTTACAGTGCAAGAATCCCCATATGATACAGTGACTTTATTTCTAAATGTTTATATTACAGGTTGTAACTTGCATGTCAGAAAACATTGGTGAGCAGTCCTGCTTGCCTCTGCTTACTACATAGGTACAAATATTTATATAGATAACTTTGGTTTTATCGTAAGATCACATATGTGTCAAAGGTTATTTTCTAAAGTTTATTAGACAGTTTGTTCAAGCAGGTTATACAGTCTGTGAGTACTAGGTGATTTCTGTCAAATGTGTTTCTGACTTGCATACCTTGCATGTATCATTTGATCATTATGCTTCTTTGCTGATTTAATTCTGGTTTTCTTCATTCAGAAAATTCATGAAGTAATGAAGAAACCAAACATAAGCCCTAAAGTGCGTAACATTCTGGAGCAAATGCGTGTCTTTGATAACATTCCAAGAAAAAAAGTCAAGTTTCAGGTATGTTTTAATACAGATTTGTAGTAATCCATGCAGTGAGCTTAAAAATGGACTTAGCAAGTGCCACTCTCTTTTAACAATGCTGGGACAAATTGCTTATTTTGGGCATTGGTAGATAAATGGTGTAACAGCTGAGTTTCAAATAGGCAATGTTTGTAAAATGTATCTCCTTGCTTAAAAGGACACTCTGTGTGCCATTTTCATTAAGTCAGAGAGTCACCATTCAAGCTTAATCTCCATGCATAAGCTTGTTCTTTGTTTAATACAATTTTTTTTTAATTATTTACAATTTCTGTTGAATGTCCAAATTCTTAGACAAACTTTTAAAGGATTCTTATTTCTGTGTCTTTGGTTTTTCCTAGTAAAGGCAAGATACTATTTTGAGAGTTTTCCTGTTGCTCAGTATTCTGACAGAATCTCCCACACAGGATACTTCACTAAACTTTGCATCACAGCCAAAGCAAATTCCAAATGTTTTACGTTGTATCAGTAAAGAATTACTGACAAGCCTGACAAGCTGGCCTTTTTTTTTTTTCTTTTTTTTTCTTTTCTGTGCCTCAGATTGTGAGGCCGAAAGAAGATCATGATTACTTCCAAAGCACTCAAATAGAACCTAATAGAGCTGTGGTGAAATTGCTGCTAGTGAGCTGAAGGTTAGAATGCTTTCCTACAGAATTAATGTTCTAAGCAGGGAAAGTGATATTTCCAAGAAGCTTCTTTTCTTTTTTTGTAAGATATGTTGCAGCGGAAGATCAAAAGTTTTTGCAGTTCATTGTTCCAGTTTACTACTGCAGCTTTCCTTGGATTTTCACTGCAAAAATCTTTACATTAGGTTTTACTTAGAATTCCACATTCCTGAAAGTTGATTTGTTGCTGCTATTGTGAGCATATTATATGTAGAAATTTACTGCTTTGTTTTCATTTTAAGCAGGAGCCCCTGCAATAGCCCCAGCAACTTTCAAATGTTTACATTGAGATATTTGCTTAAATATTACTTTTCTGTAATAAGCTCAGGTATCCATTCAGGAGCGTGACCATCTATCCAGTACACAAATAAATAAGGTCAGATTCCTGATGTTTTAACTCGTGGGAACAGAAGGTTTGGTAGGTCATTAACATAATCAGCTATATTCGAAAACTTAACGATTATCTTTTCTATATATTTACCTCTTCTAGATTACCATTGGTGAGACAGTTGAGAGGTGTGGTATAGTAACAGTACACAAGCATTATGTGAAACAATTTAGCATGGAGGTTTAAGAGATTTCACAGAGAGTAAATGTCTAACTAGATCTTAATTAGAATAAATTATTATATTCTTAAATGGAAAATAAAAACAAAAACCAAATATATGGTAATCAAGAAAAAAAACAGATGCACCTTTTCAGTTATTGTTGTTTTTTTCCTGCATAGAATTGGATGAAGAACAGTTTGAGAATTACTGACAGCACTTTGCAAGACCAGGTGTGGGATATTTTCTCAGAAGCAAGCAGAAACGTAAGTTACGTTAGAGGTACAACATCGTACAACAGGAATGCAGTCAAAAGTGGTGGAAGGAAAACCTTCAGACTCCCTTTGTAGATGTTAGGAGAAATATTGTCTCCCATTGTTAGAATGGATTATGTTATAATGTACTATTCCTAGACTAAATTGCTAAATTATGGAACATACTGTTGCTGAAGTAGTTGTCCATACTGGGCAGGTTGTGATTAAAATGTTGAACACAGAGACATGATTGTGACACAGTAATCAGAAGGCTGATTTAACTTTATTATGTGCTGTTAGTACATAGGGAAAAACACTGTCTTTGGTTCCAGTCTTTTACCACACACTAAGAAGGAATAAAACAATGTCTTTTCAGAACTTTATAGGCCTCAAACAAATGTCTATAGGAGTGGGAAATTAACAGCACCCAGTTTACCTATTTTATTAGTGGAGAAAGATGAGATCCTCCAGTTTGTGGTACAAATTCCTCCCACTTGTGTGTCCAGATTGTGGACTCCCACTGACCTTTTTTCTCAGTTCCTTTCTTTGCTATTTCAGTACTAACTCAACATGTTTTGGTAGGGTGATGTTTTGATTGTTCACATCTATTACTGCTACTAGAAAGCAGTTACAGAAGCTTACTTGTCTATTGATGTAGAGATTGCTCACCTCCTCCCCCCAGCTTATTTTGAGGAAGAGCACAGGCATAGCTTTGACATTAATCCCTTGTTGATCATGCTTCAAGTTCCTGATTTGATGGTTTCAGTTAAATCTATTTGTACTTTTTCTGAAGAATCCAAATATAAGAGCCAGGAAACAAATACTTTTGTTTAAAGGATATGAACATAACATAAACTCTGGTCACTGAATTTCAAGTACATTGTCTTGCTGGAACATTAGTTCTGAATTGATCCAACTTCACGAAAGTCATAAGCAGTTTCCTCTTGATGTAAACTGATTTTTTTAAAATAATAAAACTTGAATCAGAACAATTATTTTATTTAAACACAAGTAAACAGTTTACATTTTCTATAGACTATAGAATTAAAGTAAAATATGTAATACAACTTTCTTGCTCAGATCTTTTCAATGCACCTTTAAGAGATGTAATACATGCCTTGAAGTGTATGTACTCAAAGGAAGTTCTTAAGTGGAATTCAGATTGAATTGAAATTACTCTTTACATAAATATGATATTAAGTTGCTTGTATAAACATGTATTCTCTTTCTAAATAGCCACATTAACATTTCAGTAAGTGTATTTCACTTTTAATTATTAAAATTAATTTTAATATAAAAGTGCTCATTAATATATTAATTCTTCTACAATAAAATTATTGTAAGCCCAGGAACATTAAAAGAAAAACAGATATGTTAAGGTGAGAGAAGTACAATTATTTGCCTTTGTTGAAATCATGCAGTAATAGTTTGTTGTCCCAGACATATCCCAAGACAGGGAACTGGATGGCAAAGCTAAGATTATTACTCATGGTCCATATATTTGGGAATAGGTTCTGCATCTTGCTGTAATATGTTGTATTTTTGTCTGAGTAAACCAAAGAGTTGTCTCTCCCTTAATTACATTTAGCAAATATGTTAAAAAAAACGCATGGACAATTATGTCAAATAGAAATTATATACATTGTAAGATAACATTTCTTCTGTGATATCAAGGTAATTAGCATTTAGGCTGTTAAGTTAAAAGAAGAATCAGCCACACTGTTCAGTGCTATTTCTCAGGCAACTGGTGTCACCACATAAAAGCAATTTAATGGAATTCAGGATATCAGTGTTCTTCATGAATGATGTAGTAGAGAGAAGTTGCAATGTCAAAAAAAGCATGTAAAAATGGTAATAATCTGTCTTTCAACCAAAGATTGCAAAAGAGAAAGAACAAGACAAACCACAACAGAAGGAAGAGAGGCAGTCTGCAGAAACTGGGGAAAAAACGATGGCAGAAGAAAACGGAATTACAGATGATAAAACTGAGAGGAAAAAGAATAAGAGAGAACGAAAAGAAGAGAGACAAAAGAACAAAAAGAAAGAGAAAAAAGACTTGAAATTAGAAAACCAGTCCGAAGTAAAAAAGAGTAAAAAGTCCAAAAAAGGAAAGGAGAGCTTGGAGAATGAATTTGAAATAAATGGAAATGGCCATCAGAGTGAAATAGAAGAGGAAACAAATGTAAAGAAACGCAAGCATAAATACACTGAAGGTATCCATCCTACACCTTATATTCTTGTTTGTTTTCAAGATGCTTTTTTTCAATACTTTAAAGCTCAATAATCTACCTAAGTGGAATTTTTTAAGTAGTAAATTACATATACAAACTAGATTATTTTTAACACTGTGGGTGCACAGTCCTTTTATAAAATCTGAACCTCTTAGCAACTCTAAAATCACATTACAAGAACAGAAACTTTAAGCCACATCAGAACTTTTCTTCTAGTTTTATTTTTTTTGTGTGTATGTTTATCCAATTCCATCTCTAGATGAACCTCACATGACAACAAAGAGAGTGAAAACCGAAAACATTTCAGAAGACATGGAAACAGAAAACACCAATGGCAACGAAGAAAATGTGGGAACAGATAAAGGTATTCTTAAAGGAGGAGTTTAGTTAGAAAACTATTCTGCAAAAGTCCTAGTGCAGAATATAAGTATGCTTTTGCAGCAAGCCACAAAATAAATTGTGCTTCAGTATACATATATCTGTATGCTGAATATGTCCCTCTCTCTAATTTTCTAGGTAAATTCAACTGGAAGGGAACCATCAAAGCTCTTTTGAAACAGGCTCCAGACAATGAAATTTCAATTAAAAAACTAAGGAAGAAGGTACTGTACAACATTGGTTTTTTTAATCTCTTTGATTTTAAAATTTTTTCCTGTAATGCTTAAGGTTCATAAAATCCTGCACCACATAAGCAAAAAAGTTTGATCTTATTTAACAGAATATCAGTTGACAAGAGTGACAACTGAAGGATGTGTTTTTTATTCCTTACTGGACTACAGAAGAAATTCAGTGCTAATTGTGCAAAGGAATAATAGCATAATAGATTCCATGCTACTTTTAATAGAGTAACATGAATGCATTGTTGCTTAAAGTGGAATTATCTTTACTAACTGAAAACCATTCCTCTGTCTTTGTAGGTTATAGCTCAGTATTATGCAGTAGCTGGTGAACATCACAAATCAGAAGAGGATATTCTAGTCATATTTAATAAGAAAGTGAATAACAATCCCAAATTTAAAGTTTTAAAGGACAAAGTTAAACTCCTGAAATAAGAGTTTGCATACTTTTCATAACCTTTGCATTTTAATCTTGTATAGTGGGTCAAATTCTTCTGGCAGCTGTACAAATGTCATGCACTGGTCTCAATTTAAACTGTGTACGTGAGAGCAGAGCTTAACGACTGGATTCCTCTTTTTTCTAGATTTATCACTGAACATTTTCAGATATTTTATTTTTTGATTTTATGGAAAATGTATATTTTTTTGTAAAAGTTCTAAGAGTCATTGAAAATAATTGCTGCCTACTATATTAAAATTCTTCCAGTAATGGATATAATTTATAGGCATGAATGTTTATCAGGACCTGGGTTTTGGCTTTTTGCAGAAACTATTGTAAAAGCAAATAGGATTTTCATATTCAAAACCCCACCATGGAATGGATGTTTTATTATGTTAAAATTCAAAATGGTATGACTGATATCCCCTTTACGCACTGTATCAAGTATATGCAGGCTTTAATAACCTGTTAATTTTGTGTTGTAAATTCCATAATTAAAGCGTCTGTCAGGTTTGTGTATGTAATATTACACATTCAGTGAAAATCTAAAGACTGCGTTACCTGTTTATGCATAGCTACTGAATGTTTTAATTAGTAATGCAAGTGACTTCAATATAGTGGTCACATAGACTAAAAATTGACTGCTGAAATAAACTACTTTAAAACACCACCTTAAATATAATAAACCTTGCCACTTTAATTTGAAGAGGCTGTTATATTGCAGTCACCGAAACAATTTAGGAAGGCCAGAAATCTTACACGTAAGAGACAGAGTTGCCTGGGGAAACTTACTTGAAGTTTATAAGGTTTTAATTAAATACTAAATAATTCCAGATAAGGAGTTTCCTACAATTAAGTAATCTGTTAAGAACAGTGGTAGAAAGACAGTGAAAATGTCTTGTAGTAGGTGGTACAGTGTTTTGGAAAACTTCATAGTGATTTCAAGCAATACACTTTTTTAAAACTCCATAATGAGAATATCTGAATTTATATAAATATCGAATATATTAAAAGTATAAATATGAAAAAACTGTCTGATACACTGGGTCCAATTTTCTGAGTACATATTTATCTTGCTTATCGTAAAAGTTGCAATAAAAATACCTAATAAATTTAACATCTCTTCAAAAGTGTTTGTGGTTAATTCATGACATGGCTTTGGAGATAAATAGAATAAAATGTATTTACAGACACGGAGAAACTTCAATAAGTTGTTTGAACACATTTCGGAAGCTTAGATTTCTTTTTTTGTTTGTTTTTGATTTAGGAAAGGACATAGAGTAAGACCTTGTCAGTGAAATTGAAATTAATACAGTGCTGTTAATCTTTTCACTCACTCTATATATTTTTCAAAAAATATTGTTACATTAACATCCTAAATAGTTTTGTTACAGTAACTTTTATAGGTTTTCATTTTTTTGTTTAGAATTAATTGCCAGTTATGCCATTCTCTTATAACTTTTCATCTTCCGTTGTTGACCACATGTGTTTGACACATGTATAGAAACTACATTTGCGGAACTGCTCATACCCTAAGTTCTTGTGATGGCAGCAGGAGGTATGGGTGCAGTCAGCAGCTGCTACAGTTGTGGCAGCTTATTCTGTGCCATGCCTCCATCCTCTTCTCCCTGCCTTCGAACTAGGATCTAACCTCTCTATCCTACACTTAAAATGTCAGTCCCATGTCCACAAGCCTGGATTGTCTTTCTGCGTGTCTGCCTCTTGCTTTCATCAGCCAGTGGGTCCCAGCTGCCTTGTGGGAGTGTATTGTCATCAGCTCAATGTCCAAGTGGAGACCAGGGACAAGTGGTGTTCTTCAGGGGTTGATATTGGGACCGGTGTTGTTGGAGACATGGACAGTGGGATCGAGTGCTCCCTCAGCAAGTTTGCTGACAACACCAAGCTGTGTGGTGTGGTCGACACGCTGCAGGGAAGGGATGCCATCCAGAGGGACCCGGACAGGCTGGAGAGGTGGGGCCATGCAAACCTCATGAAGTTCAACAAGGCCAAGAGCAAGGTCCCGCATGTGGATCGAGGAAATCCCAAGCACAAATACAGGCTGCAAGAAGAATGGAATGAGAGCAGCCCTGAGAAGAAGGACTTGGGGGTGCTGGTAGGTGAGAAGCTCAACATGAGCCGGCAGTGTGCACCTGCAGCCCAGAAAGCTAGCTGCATCAAAAGCAGCATGACCAGCAGGTTGAGGGAGGTGATTCTCCCCTTCTGCTCTCCTGAGATCCCACCTGGAGTAACTGCATCCAGCTCTGGAGTCCCCATCACAGGAAAGACATGGACCTGTTGGAGTGGGTCCAGAGGAGGGCCATGAAGATGGTCAGAGGGCTGGAGCACCTCCCCTATGAGAACAGGCTGAGAGAACTGGGGTTCAGCCTGGAGAAGAGAAGGTTCTGGGGAGACCTTACAGCAGCCTTCCAGGAGTTAAAGGGGGCTACAGGAGAGATGGGGAGGGACTCTTCATCAGGGAACGTAGTGATAGGATGAGGGGTAACAGTTTTAAGCTGAAAGAGGGTAGACTTAAACTAGATATTAAGAAGAAATTTTTCACTGTGAGGGTGGTGAGACACTGGCACAGGTTGCCCAGAGAAGCTGTGGATGCCCCATTCCTGGAGGTGTTCAAGGCCAGGCTGGATGAGGCTTTGAGCAACCTGGGCTAGTGGAGGGTGTCCCTGCCCATGGCAGAGGGGTTGGGACTTGATGATCTTTAAGGTCCCTTCAACCCCTAACCTTTCTATGATTCTATGATTACCTTTTCCTAGTGTTTTGGCAGAAAGAAGGGGGGGCAATATGCTTTTTAAGTATATTTTTCTTCCTGAATGTCCCTGCAAGTACTGTACTATGGTAGATGAGTCTCTGCTTCTAATTATAGATGACTTCAAGTGCTATTGGAGTCCACGTATAGTTGCATTATTGACATGCAGCTTTCCAGTAAAAAAAAATAAAAAAGACCTCTGTGTTTTCATTAGACAATAGATTCCTCAGAGGACTGAAATTGGCTTTTCCACTTACAACAGATGCGAGCTTTAATTTACTGCTTTGCAACTAATGATGTCTCGATCAGATTGATGTTACACTGTTCTTTAAAACTATCAATTTAGTGGTAATCATTTCAGAGGGAGGCATAATCCTTTGCAGACCATTCAGAATATTTCCTGAAGACAGAAAAACAGTAAGACGTATCTCATTTCTATTTGGTGATTAATCAGCATATTTACCAGTATTTTTTTAAATCCCACAGATCTGTTGCAATGAAGTTAAGTATCTTGGATGCTCTTTTGGTTTTTAAGTCAGGGAGGAGGGTGTACAACCCTAAGATATAGAAAATGCAAGAGAGCAACAGTATCAACTTACTGACTGCATTCAGAGAGCGTGTCAAGTTCAAAAATTAGTATTCCAGACAGAATAAGAGAACAGCAAGGCACAGCCCACAGTGGTAATGTGGAAACCTGTCGAGCACCTGCTTGCAGTTTAATTAATATGTTCATTAAGCATTATTATCTGATCCCAGCTTTCATGTCAGATTATTAATTTGATTGAACAGCTCTTAAATCCTCATTTGAGTGACTTTGGGGTCTGTCACCTTCAAGAATAAATGGCAGAACTCACATCCATCCGTGCATACGTGTATTTGGAGAAGGAAGATCTAGCTCACAGTAACTGCAACAGTTTGGGTGTTGTGCATACGCTGATGGCATGACTGCCATCCCTCTCTTTGGCGCTGTCTTTGATCACCTGAACTGACTGCTGCAAGCCATTGCCATTGATGCCAAGTTTGATGCCCATGGAACTTTAGCTGCCATGATCCACAACTGACGTTTTAAATACATTTGACCAACAGGGACATGATGAACGAGAAAGTTCATCAGCTTTGATCTAGGTTCTCAGCAGCAAAGTCAATTGATTAGCATTGTCCATGGACAGGAGAGTTGTGTGTGCCTTCATCAAGCACACTACTGACCTCCTGTTCAAAAATATATGCTGTGCAGAATATTTAAAAGAATGTCATGGCAGTACTAAGTAGCCCTTTATTTTAACATCTGACAAGAACAGCTGTGGACTTTCTTTTAACAGCATGCCGGCATACTGGGCTTGTGTTGCCACAGAGGACTTTATATACTTAACCATTAAGTTAATTTATTCTAGCATTTGGTCATGAAGCCATCAAAACCACATCTGAGTAATGAGTTCAGTTGTATACATGGGGGATTCAGCAAAATGTGTCACACATTGCAGTCATATCATTAAAAAAAACAATACAAACCCAACAGCAAACCTGAGAACACTGAGCTGTTGCAGACCCTCGAAACTGCTGGCTTACAACATTTCCACTTTTTACTCTGATGTCTTTCAAATTCTAGCAGATCCTATCTTTTGGTACATTAATTGCTGTGCAGCTCAGATAACATTTGTTATTATGGAGGTCATTAAAATAACACTTGCGTATTCAGTGTTTGAACATCAAACAAACAAAAAAAACCCAGAAGGTCAGCAGCACCTATTCAAGTTTTTTAAACAAGGTATTTTTTGAGCATCATCACCTTTTTCACTATTTTTTTTCCTGTGCTTTCAGGACAAAGGGGCATTGCTTAATGTTGATTCTGCAGTGTGGCAGAATCATGTGGCTGATGGACATGCACATTTTATTGTGGTTTTCTCACCTGCAACCAACCAACAGTAATAAAGAAAGGGACTTTATTACTGCCACTTTAGATTCTGAGGAAAAGAGGGAGCCCTTCCAAACTTTTGCAGAGGCAGAACAGCTACTATAAAATCACATAACTTTAAAAAGAGGAGACAATGTAGCACAAGTATTCACATTAATTTATACCATTAAAGCTAGTATTTTAATACAGTTTGTAAAGATAGATCTCAATAAATGAGAATGTAAAGTTCCAATTTTACCAGCAAGAGCTGTGTATTTAAGTGTTATAGTATGAAAAAAGTTGTAATATTAAATATTGTTAAGTATTGTAAATTAGAAAAT